GTTTGTTTTTAGTTACCAATTTTGCAAAAATTTATAGTACCAGTTCGTTTTGGAAAATAGGCCCAAGGTTCAATTAAATGACCTGTGAGCACCACTAGGTTGAACCAATATCTAGTCCATTGATAGAGGACAAAAGTATGGGTGTCACTTTGGACCCAATCTAAATTAAAAGCAATTTGAACATTTTGGATTAAATTGGACCGAGATGGGTTAGGTGAATATCCAATCGATTGACAACCCTATTCTCAAGTGTTGGGGGTTGATTAATTAGAAATGTTTAAGCACCTATGATATATATTATCAATAATATAAAATTATATAATATAAATACTAGAAATATATGAAATCTATTATATTAATAATAATATATAATATATTATATATTATAAATGTATATATTTATATAGAATATATAATATATATTAAAAATATATATACCAGTCAATTCGATTAATTGTCAGTGTTTCATTTTGGTTAACCAAAACCAAACTGGTACTTTGGTTTTTCCAAAACATCGAATTAATCGATTCAGATGACCAGATTGTTTAGTTCAATTTCATCGATTCAATTTGATTTTTTTTATTTTTCAGTTTTTTTGTTTTTTATGAGCATCCCTATTCAAATGAACAATCTTCCAAATAATTTTTATTGTTTTATAGGCTTTTTAGCCTTTTACTGATACTAGTGTAAGAGGATGAAAAGATGTAAAGACATTTAGTGTCCATTTGGTTCATAGTTGGAATCAGAATTGGAATCAAAACCCGTCAAAATTGGAATCAAAATGGTCTATTCCCATAACCTGTTTGGTTCAGACATGAATAAGATTAGGGGAATGCCAATCCACCAGGAATGGGAATAGGATTCCAATTACACCCAACCAAACAATTAGAATCAAAATGGGTCATTCTGATTTCGATTCTAGACCCTTATTCCCATGAACCAAAAGGGCCCTTAAATTTTGAAAGGATTTTTTACTAAACTTACTTAAATGCATTTAACACATCGGTCAAATTTAAGGATTAAAATAGTTAAAACATTTGTTATTAACACTATATGATGGTATTGAAATATTCTAATACAAATTTTATAACCTAAATGTGAAGTCAAGGCAAGTATCAACATTATAAAGTTTAGTGCAAGGGCATTTGTGCAACTGAATGATAAGGGCAAGTATCCACTTTATAAACTTACTTAAATGCATTAACTCATCAATCAAATTTAAGGATTAAAGTACTTAAAGGGTTTGTAACCATTAATACTATTAACATTATATGATAGTATTGAAATATTCTGATACAACTTTTATAACCTAAACGCGAAGTCAGGACAAGTATCAACATTATAAAGTCTAGTGCAAGGGCATGTGTGCAAGTAAATGGTATGGACATAAGTTGATATTGCACATCAAATTTACTTTTGTGACATGCACCAAAACCAAGGCAAATATGTACTTTATAATAATATAGATAAAATAGATTCTAAAATAAAGTTATAAGCCACAATTGGAAAACCCTTCCAAATGAATTCGGATTTGCTTGTCACTGAGTGCGTCTCACAGAACTTGCAGCCACACATCGAAAGTATCTCCCGTACTTATATGCTGTCATTCATGGGAAGATATTCCCAATTCACGACTGCAACATGCTTTGAAGTTAGTGTTAGGCACACTCTATGAGGAGCAAATCCGAACTCCTCCCAAACACACTTAGATGTTAAGAGCCATCTTTAAATAGAAGAGGTGGCACTAATTAGCCCATTAACAAATTGGATCATTTTATAAAGCACTATTAAGAATAACAATGCTAAAGACATGACTCCCAAAACACTTGGGCTCCTAGCTACTTGGTCAGAGAATTGTGTCTGACCAAGTGCCTTAGTTTAGGGTTTAGGGTTAGGACTTGGGATTTAGTAAAACATAGTGTTTTTTTTTTCAAGTAAATCAATAGTTGGTTGGGCACACTGGTCCGACCATGGTGGGGGCAAAATAAAGCTCCATGACAATATGAATTAACATGTCACATGGAGAGAGCCTTGTAAACAGCATAGGGTGTTGAGTATGGACAGCCAAAGTTTTCTCCCATATGTTGCACTTTTTATCTATTTTAATTTATGGAGAAAGGTTTAGCTGAACGCACGATGACTGTTCAGCTGGTTGTGGAATCAATAATAAGGTTCTAAGTCAGTAATAAAATACATGGGACCTGCACACTTTACAGTGGGGCTCATGAATTTATTACTAGAATGGAACCTTATAATTGGTTCCACAGCCTGTTGAACAGCCACCATGTTCAGCTAATCCAAATTCCACATTATGTACACTCTCATTCAATTGTGTAACAGCTGGACAGGTGTCCCATTACTTGTGTAATGTCATATGCATAGGCATTTACAAACATTTAGGCTTTGTTTGGTTTGAAGGAAAAAGTAAGAAAAGGAAAAGAAAGGTAGGAAATCTTTACAAACCTTGTATGGGCTTTCCTACCTTTCCCTTCCTTTCTCTACCTTTTTCCTTTAAACCAAACATAACCTTAATGGATCCAAACAGGTAGGGGTGTCAATGGACCAGGTTGGGTTGAAGTCTAAATGAAAATCAATTTAAATAGATTGGACGGACTAACAAGACATTGAATTGGAACAGTCCAGACTTAGCTTATGTTTGGTTTGAAAGAAAAGATAGGAAAATCTCTACAAAATTTGTAAAGATTTTCCTACCTTTCCTTTCCGTACTTTTTCTTTCAAACCAAATACAGCCTTAATGGTCCAAAATATTTATTAAATTTGATTGGAGCCCGTCCATTTATAATAGATTTTTATTGGAATGGGTCGAACTGAACCAATTGAACAGTTTGAACAGTCCAGACATTAAATTGGACCAATCCATAATGGTCCAAATATTCATTGGATTGAATTGAACCCGATCCATCGTATGCATTGGACTCATACTGGACCGGATCAGATTGGACAAATATTCGATATTGACAGCGTACCTGCGGGTACATAATAAAAGTGTAAGACATCGTGATTCATCTAGAGCTACAAATAGTTAAAATCAAATCGGATAGATATAGGTATATCCAAAATCAATATGTTTATATTTGAATTTGATTCATTTGAACCAGATTTTATCCATCAAATTTATATCATGTTTGAACCGAATTTGGATTATAATCGGATATTGAATAGGATAAACAAATAAAACTAAAAAATGATCTAAATATTATATATTATTAATAAATTAAAATGACTTTGGTATTGTAATTCATAAACAAAATGAATTGCAATATGAAACTTGAAGCTAACAACTTGATAAAGGGGATGTTTGGAACCGTGGCTGTTTTTTAAAAAAAAATGGTGCCACATCGGATCCATATAGGCGTTTCAACAAACGCCCATGTATCTCATTGTTTGGTTCAGCCAATTATTAAAAAATTGGGCATGCCTCAAAAATCGGGACCCTACCGATGCATAAACTGCCAAATTTAGCATTTCATACATTGGTGAACCGTTTCCCTCAACGGTTGACTGATGTGTATCCTATGGTGATGAAAATTATCTTACCAAACATCATAGTGTTGTTCACTGCCTACATGGCAAAAGCGTTTTTTGTAAAAAAGGAGCCTTTGAAACATAAGCATTTTTTCTTGAAAATCGATCCCAAAAAACACCCACACTTCCAAACACCATAAAAATACAACATTCAAACCAACTTTCCTTAAATCGATTCAATATAAATTTTATACCAAAAAAGTATATATTTGAATCGAATCGCGTATGGGTGGATCCATATTTAAATAAATCAAATTTGATTCACCTTTGATGGGATTGAATTCAAATTCAAATATGAACCATTGAATCATGCAGCCCTAGACTCATCTGATTCTCTCCTTTTTTTTTTTCAAGGTTTCAATCAAAGTTTCATTGATTCTCTTATTTTAGTAAAAAAAAAATCATAATAATAGTTAAACTAAGCAAGTCAAGCGGATTAAAGGTTAAACCATACTCGACGTGTCGGAAATTGTATGGGGCCATGGTTCCGGATTTAGTCTACGTTACTCATGAGTTGCATCAAACGACAAAAGTTTAATAAATAAATGGGCGGCCGGATGGGCTCAGGCATGGGCACACAACTGAGAGTTGTATAACTTACCACGTAGCAAAATTCAGAATAAATAATTCAATTGGCCCCACTTAAGAGGGAGCTCACACGAAAAATCAATATGATAGATGTGATTAGACTATCTCATATATGCTCCATTTTGGAGATATCAAAAGTTCCACCCAAATATTTTCTTTAAAAATATAAATTTTCCCATTTTTCAAATAAAGTGTAATATGATTTTTGGCACAGTATGAGGTGTATGAAAAAAACATGATTTTGTGTTTTTTTTTTAACAAAAACAATTGTCACACCAGCAAAATCACAAAATTACATTATTTTTGCTGTTGTGATAGTTGGTTTTATTTAAAGAAAAAGAAAACAAAATCATACGCATTGCCAAACAGCCCTTTAAATTTTAGGAAGTGATCAATCGAATATTGTTATGTCCGGCCCGATTATCGTAATGTAAGACAATGGCAATTTGTGGGTCCTCAGACAGGTTAATGGATGATATGATGGATTCCCATACCCAAGCCTTAACTACTCAAAAATAAAAATCTAAATCTCTCCTTGCTTAGCATAGTTCCAGATTTTGTTTGATATGATATAAATTAATGTTTTCTTTCAATTTCCCATAAAACAAAAATAGAAAAAAAGGACCCGTAATTGAATAGGTTGCTTTTCCTCCTTCCATCCCACCACCACCACCTCTACCCACTTGCATGTAGGGCTAGAGTACCTTAAAGTAAGTGACCTGTCCACTCTTGCGCCTTTTATTCTGTTTGCACCTTAAAAAAGGAAAAAAAGAAAAAAAAAGAAAAACAAAAGACACACTTAGGGGGAGGGGTGTTGTTTTTTCTCTGGCCCTACTCTCAAGAGTCAAGACTACGAATTACCTAAGTCTTAGTTCAAGTATTGAGCATTTTCTGCATGCAGACAGAGAAACATAGGCAGAGAAAATCAAAAGAAAGGAAAGGGAGAAACAGAATGTGGGAGCAGGTTGTTTTTTCCCACCACCACTTGCATATAACCAGCAACAACAGAGCAACTAGAATCCTCTAACTCTAAGAACTAAAGTGAACTAATTGGAGTTTAGGACATCTCTTACTATAGATCCCATATTTGGGGCATTATGTTTATGGACTCTTTCTCCCGTTTGACGACCCCCTACATAATTTATATTTGGGAATATCTCGGGATTGGGGTTATAGGTACCGGACCCATAAAGCAATTTGGGGCCCAATAACATGCTCTGTGTTCCCATATGTCCAGAGAATTACAACTCGCCATTAAATATGATGACAAGTTGAAGAGATTAGAGATTAAAGTAGAGCATAAACCAGATTGAAATGATACCATGTTGCCATATCCATCTGCATGAGTGCCATGGCGGAAACGACTTTTTCTGTACAACTGTTGGAAGGTTCCTGACGAAAATAATATTAATGCAGAGATCAGATGGCTTAAAGAAGTCATCTATCTGCTGATTTTTCCTTTTCCTTTTATTTTTTTTAATCCGGTCTGTCTCTCATGTAGCAACTTGTTGGTTTCAGAGTAGAGTTCAGATTGGCTCTCCCTGGATTCATTGCACCTTAACTCCTTTGCGTCATAAAACATCTAGTGGCCTTGTAGCTAGTTCTGAGTCTTCATGGCTAAAATCAATCCTGTTTTCAAACACTCATAACTGTGAGAAAGATGATGAAGGGGAGAAGGGTATGCTGACACACAAGAGGGGTACGAATTCAAAGAATATAGAATAGATAAAAGAGCTACCATTACCATATATTACCTCTCTGCATGCGCTGGCCCGCCCCGCTCATGACGTTTGAATTCAGTGCAAAAGCTATGTTCTTTCTGGGGCTCTCACAGGGGGAGGAGGGTCCAGCCCTGGGTACGGTGAGTTGGGAGCCTGGGTATTATCTTCTATATATGGCTATATGCTATATAAGCCAAACATGGTTATGGTTATTGGTTTGGACTTTGGACTTTGGGGGGGACGGGAAGAAATAAGAGTCGCTTTCTTCTCCACAAAGCTTTCCTACAAAAAAGATTCTTGCTTCATTTAATCACTCTTGTCCTGTCACAAGTATTCGTTATATCTAATTTATTCCAGGACGCAATTGATGGAAAATGTTTTGGAATTGAAACTGTCCTATGTTGATGTAATGTTTTTTAAATTCTATTTTTGCCCATGAAAAACATCACTGAGACAAAGATTAATTTATGAAATTAGCTGCCCCAATAATAAAGTGATTCACTCTATATATTCAAGTGGGTTTCATTGTCTATTTCATCCAGTGAACACAACAAAGATGATCAAAAGTTGGGGTTGAACTTAAAGCCTCAGACAACCGGAAGGTTTTTTTTTTTTTGGAGGTCAAAGTATATTTATCAGAAAATTACAATTAATATTTTCAAGGGAGATTTAAGTAATTTTCCCTTGCACAGAAGATATCAACTACAGATTTAACACTTTGGTTTGGAGCAGTAAAATGTTCGATAGATTTTACAATAGTAATTAGGAATCACCAATTATATATCTGAACTATGAACTATGAACTATGAAGGATGGCAGTAGAAGGGCCCCACCAAATGCACGCCCATAAATGAATAGATATTTCTGGGAGCGAGTGTATATAATATATAGGATTAGACATTTTGATCAGTAAGCTAAGTTATTTTAGAGATAAGACAGTTTATAAACAGCGATCAGAAAGTAACTCATTCTTGCTTTATTTTTTTAACCCCATTAAAGGAGCGTGGCCCCGGGAACACAGCCAAGTTCAGTCCATGGTTCTCAGGCTTTTTTTTCTTTTCTGCTCTCTCTTTCTTCCGTGGCAAACACATGGACCCACCATTCCAGATGGTTGCACCGTCGCTCACCGGCAACGCGTGCGCTTCTGTACCACCCCAGTCCTCTTCCCCTTCTGTTGAGATTGAGGCTAGTAGTGCACGAGCACTTGAGCAGAGCAGAGGTTGATGAGCTCTTGTTATGCGCATGAACCCTAAATGCATGTGATCCTCCTTGATAAATGATAACCACAACCAGACATCCATTTCCATTTGAATATATATATTGTAAGTATATACTTCTGAAAGATATTCATTCAATTCTTCCATTTTTTAAATCCTTCCTTAATTCATATTTCATATATATACTTATGGGGTTTGATTTTACAATCTGGCTATATGTATAACTCCCAGCCCAGAAGGGCAGAACAGAACATATGACATTTTCGAACAAGTAGACAAACAAAGTAATTAATTAATTGCAGTTTGTAGAGCAAATATTTTGAAGCAAACAACTCCAACACCACTCATTTAAATTCTACAGATTGGCTTCGATATTATTGTGGGTTGACAAGAGGAATAAAATTATTTTGAAGGGATTCTCTTGGTCTGGGACCTGGACACAGGCACACAGTCTAGGGGCCATTAGATTTGCCACCATCGATCGGATGGTTGGTATGTATATATGTGGTCCATCAATGGAATTCACCTTTTCCCTACAACAGGACGACTTGGGATCTAGGTTAGAACAAAAGAACGTGCAAGGCCAACCTGAATGTTGAAAATTAAAAGCAAAAATCTGTTGTCAGATCAGAGATGGGTGTTTAGGGCATAATCCATGGACAAGGCTCAGAAAAGGAAGGAGCATCATCCAGAGAAGAAACCCAGGATTCGGTCTCAATAAGCTTCTTTTCTTTCATTGTCCCATGATTTGGTGACTTTGTTTCCTGTTGTGCTTGGTTTTTTGGCATCATCTACAGACAACTCTTCGAAATATGGTTGGATTCCGATCAACACGGTTGTCAAGATTAGACTCTATAGAATGTCTTAATATATATAGAGAGAGAGAGAGATTATTCAGTAGTAATCAACAAGAAGGGTCGAAATAAGAGTTCACCCAGCTAACTAGTCTGTCGCTGTCCGACACATGGAAAAGGTTGAGAAGCATCTGGCAGGATAAGGATTCCTTTCAAGTTGTCTTTACATCGATCGTTCATGTCCAGTTGCCCACTCTTTATTTATTTTCTTCTACTGTCTCTTAGCTTCTCAAGCATGTTCTTACCCACTCATCGATCCATCAGTTAGTTTCTCTCATCAACTACTCTACAATAAATAAGATTAATTTTCAAGTTTCCAAACAATACTCTCAAAGCAAAACCCACGAAACCCGTTACCATCACTACGCAATCGACAATTAATTCAGGATCAAATCAGTGATCATGAAGTTCCTTGCATGCATATTAATTTGTCTCTGCTTGGTACAAAAATTGGAAAAGATTAATTCAAGTGTTTGTTTGTTTTGCCTGAATTTTTGGAGTCAGTCAGTAACAGATCGTCAACCACAATAGATCATATCGATGGCACATGAGTCATGACTGACTAAATGAGAGTGGGGACCCATAACTTAATTAATATTGAATACAGTGTCAACCCCCACCTAATATATTGGGACCTATAAGAAAATCAGATTGATCAGTTGTTTTTTAGAATATCTGATCTATATATCATTTTAATATCTTTCAAAGAGTTTAAATGTGCATTTTGACTAAGAATTTAAATTAAATCTTGGCTCAACCAATTAATCTTCAAGATGGTACCAATTGAGTGGTGGGTCTGAACATCCTAGCTAGTCTAATCTTGGACAGATGACAAATTATAGGGCCCCAGACTGATTATGGATCTTGTGTCCCCAGTCTGTCAATCACAGACCAAGCTTTTTTTTTTTCTTTCTTTTCCACAAAATAGCTAGCTAGAGGAGGTTCCCCCTACTGTTTGTTTTACAATAATTTTGATGATGCCTGCCCATGACAGATGATGGACGATTATGGTAGTTGGAATTGCATATTTATTAAAGTGGGTCCATGCATGTAATTCTCTCTACTGATCATTCTTGATTCTCCTTCCATTGGTGCCAATGTCCCTCTTACATTTACATTATGGTTAATTGATTCCTTCAATCCAAACTCATCAAACTTGTGCCCAACCCATTTCCAAAATGGTTGTTAATATCGTGGAGGAGAACTTCACAAAATAAGAATGAAGTAGCCTACCTCTTTGCTTTTTTTTTTGTCCTTTGTTTTAATTTTTGTACTTTTCCTTAAAAACCAAAATATATTTTATTTTTTCTTTTCTTTTAATTTTTCATCTCTGTTCTATTTAATTAATCATTCTTCTATTACATATATATATATATATATATATATTTGCTTCTATTCTTAACTGATACATATAACATGAATATTGAAGTAAAAAAATATGGGGTATATGATAAGAAAATTAATTTAGTGCAAATTTCCTATACCATTTTGGTTAATTGGCATAGGAAATTAAAACCATATCATACATGCATTTTTGATAAGTTTCCTTTTAATAATAAAATCAAGGGGTTTTTACCGTTCAGTCATCTAAAAATCCCTAAATTCAAAGGGTTATGTACGGATACTATGTGATGATGATGATGATGATCTATCTGATCTGGACAAACAACACATGTTATATCAAGGGTGCCCCGGCCCTCATCAATCATCATACATAGTCTCTATGATGTCATTCTTCAGCGTGGCAAGGACCCAGGCCAGGACCCCCTTTAATTTTCTGCACGCTTACGTTCATGGTGATGAACTTCATGCATGTACATATTATTACCATTTAATGTTCTTAAATCCTGAATTTGAAGTAGAATGCATGCTTCACTAAATAACTTCCCAATCTTCCCTTAAGACATTACAGCTAGGTTTAATTTTGCATTGCTTTGTTTTGATGATTTTTTGGACTATTTCTTGAGAGAGAGAGAGAGAGAGAGAGAGAGAGAGAGAGAGAGGTACCCACATAGCGTACGGGAAAGATCAATGAAGTGGAGCGTCACGGCCTACCTTAAGGAATGTAAGGCCTCTCTCTCTCTCTCTCTCTCTCTCTCTTCTCTCTCACTCCATATGAATGTATAGTGCATGGATATAAAATGTGTATATTATTGAGACAACTGTTAATGGAGATATAGAATTCCTGGTGCATGTGATTCATCTTAGCAGGCTAAGCTGTCCGCTTGATGATTGTCTGGAGTAGTAAGGCTCTGAGCTTCTGAACTTAGCTATTATAGAATAATATATTTGAGGAGGTTTTCTTTTTATTATATTTAAATTAAAATATTTTTGCTTCTTGTGCTGAACCTGTCCCAAGCATCTCTTCCACATACCTCGAATCATATTGGCCAAGGCACTGGGATTTGTTTGGCATGCCTCATTCCCTAATACAATAATATTTTCCTCTCACTGTGAAAAGAGAGAATCTTAAATTCTTCTCTGGTTTTTATTTCATCTTATTCTATGTTCGCAGTGTATATACTTAATTCGTTCGGAATGCCAAGCTAAGACTAAGAGGGTGTGTGTTAGCTTGTTTCCTCAAAGCTAGCTGTGGTTGGAGAGGAGTGGGTGCAAGCACATAAATAGTCGTGTTGCTCTCCCCCCCTGAAGGAGTTTGAATTTCTTTTCCTTCTTTCTTTCTTTCTTCCTTCTTCTTCCTCCTCGGAATACCAAGGTGTTCGATCTCTACTTATCAGCTCATCACCAGACTCCACAGGTCAGGATACGCACTCTTCTCTCTTCTCTTTTCTACCTTCACCTCTTATACTTGATTAAGTTGTTGAAAGACACAAGATTACAGACGTTTTTCTTACTTGTTCCTCGAACCTTGCCTGCTCAAAAATTATCCTACTGTACCTGAAATTTCAGAGATCTGTACAGAGATCTGTTTTGAATGACCTTAGCTTGTGGTCATAGAGCTCCGTTTTATTCCCTCTACAGATGGAACATGTCGATACCCAACATGCTATTATAAATTGGACAGTTGGGCTCTCTGGATTGCAATCGGAACTGGTATTCTGTTTTCTGAAATATACTTTTGTCTGTTTTCAGAATAGATTATATATGTTTCCTGTTAGGGTTGCTAGTTCAATACGCCCCGACCTTTAAAGCTTGTCAACACCTCCTGTTGGTAAGCTTTATCACCGGGCAGTACACCCACATTATAACTCTTATGAATTGCTAATTTCAGAAAACATAAAAGCCTCGGATCAAACTTGCTCTGATTGGTATCTACTTGCTTTTGATAGTAGCCTTGCTTGGTTATCAGGAACTGGAAAAGAATATGAATATATCAGTAGGAACTGAAACTTGAGACATTCAGTTCTACCAATGACATTCTAGTGATTTATGGATATGATCCCTTAATTAATTGCCTTTTTTTTCTTCTTGAGATCCTTTAATTTAATTGTCCATTTATTTTGTTTGTCCTCTCTATTTATGTTTATCACTGGTTTTAAAATTTACAAGACACTCTGAGCTAGCGCCAGAAAAGCAAGCAAAAACGATGAATTTATTTATTCCCAGAATTAAGAAATTAATAAAAGCGGTTTTAATTACAAGGAGAAATATTAGGTGAGGACTGAGCAAAGTGGCCAACAGCGAATAAAGAAAGAGTATTTCTTTGTTTGAAGTAAATCTCATGTAGAAGAAGATAACTCTAGTCTTATCTTTGTTAAAGAAATTTGAGACAAGGTCCTTCTATGTGATCTTCCAGAGATTGTTCAGCACATGGAAGAACCAAACAGGTCTAAAAAAAAGCTGGCATCGCCTTTCTTTCATTTTGATAGTTGTATAAAAAGAAATTCGAGTCATGACAGTAGTTACGCCCATTTTTCCACATGTCGATGCTTTATGATCTGAAAATTTTGGGTTGTGACAGTGTATACTGTATAGGCCAATCTCCAACAGCTGTAATTTTGATCTACCGGGTTCTGTTTTTTTTTTTTTTGAACTTTTTGCAACAATTTTCTTGTTTGACAGGTACAGGAAGAGGCAATAAGGCGATATGTTTTGACATCTTATAAATATTCAAGATGCAAATCTGAAGAATAGAACCCGATCCGAAATCTGAACAGAAACATCTCCGAGTTGTTAATTTTGATTTTTCTTGTGAAGATCACCATCAGAGAAAGAAAGGAGGAAGAACAAAAAGGCAAACTGCAGCTCAGATGGAGAGAATTCTGAAGCCTTATGATAAGGAATCCATGAAAATGGCCATGCTAAAGCATGAAAAGACATTCAAAGAGCAGGTACTCCAAACGTAAAACCTTTCTTTGATTTCTCCTTCTTTTCTCATCGGTCCATTGTCTATCCCCTATAATTCTAAGCTTGATGAGGGTGATCGATCGTGCAGCTATATGAACTTCATCGTCTATACCAAATTCAGAAGATGCTAATGAACAACATGAAAGGCAGTACTGGACCAGATAGGTGTGTTCCAAATGGATGGAACTTAGAGAAGGATATCAGTTTCAGCCAGGCTAATTGTACTTACAGAGAACAGCAGAAGCCACGAAGGAGACTTGACCTGGAACAGCCAGCCGAAGACTGCAATGCGGACGAAGGTGGAGATGGAGTGCTGGAGATAGAGGACGAGAGCGATATTGAGCTAACACTGGGGCCCGCAATTTACAGACGAAGAAAAAAAGATGAAACACCACTAACTTCAGATTCTGGACCAAGTTTTTCTTCGTCGTCCACTGAATCTGGCCATATGAAGACAAATACCGGGGCCCATAACAGGATTGATACAAGGGAAGAGTTAGGAGGCCATAACTGGGGGCTCATTCAGGTTCCTGACATGCAATCGGGTTTCCAGAGTGAAAGGAAGAACACTTTTGATGTTGAAGAACAATTGAGACAAGAGACACTAAACCGGCCTCCTTGGCTTTACCATGTTTTCAGTCTGAACCTGACTTAGACTAGCTTCCGAACTTTTAAACTGCTTCTGATCTGATTGACTAATCCTTGATGGCTGTTTGTGTTAACTTTTTCTCTTAGTTTTCAGTATAGTGGATGATGAAGTTTATAAAGAACTAAACAAGCAGGATATAGTTACAGATATATTCCAATTAGATTCAGTTCTGGAAATCCCAAATACACATTTCCATTGTTACTAAACCCACTCAACTGGGAAATGATTTCTCTACCAATTTCAGCTAGCGTAGTTTACTGTGCTTCTTTTCTTCGTGCATTAAGGTAATTAACAAGAATCGTGGTCACTATACAACTGCATGAGTGCTTCTTTTCTTCGTGCATTAAGGTAATTAACAGCTCAGTTTGGAAGGAGTACAAATACAAATATGTAGAGTGCAAAATCTTATATTTTGTATTATTTTATATGTATTTGTACTGTGCATAATTTGTACTCCTTCCAAACATTGCTTAAGGTTCCATATGTTACCTAACTTTAGTTATTGTATTTTTTTCTGAATTGTTAGGTTGTAAGGTTAGTGGGTTAGTGGGGATTTAGTGTATGAGTTAATTATTTCAAATTTTGGAATTTGTATTGATGGGTTGAGGTATGAAGAGGCCATTGCCTGGTGCAATTGTAAAACCTTATTTGACAAATATGAGAATGTGGATTTGAGCATGAGAGCGGCTAATTCGTGCAAGAACATGCCAAACGTTAAGGTCTGAACAAAGAAGAGTCTTGTTTTAAAAGGCCGGACACCCTCAAGGTGTTCAAGGAGAGGTCCAACCTCCTCAAAGGTGGTCATCTTCTTTTTTTTTTTTTTTTTTTAAATGAACCTAGGGGGTGATCGATCATCAATTTGATTGTCAAATCAATATACGAGAAATATAGCTAGGAAACAAAACTGGATCATGCATGGTAGTAAAGACGATGATATCATCTTTGATTTCGGAGAACCTTACAATTGATGTTGGGCATTGAATCATTGTAATGCGGAAAGGGACTATCTTTATCAAATCCTCACCGGTAGCCAAAATTTCAAGCCCAATGCTTTGGATCGTGTGCTGACTATGTATACACAAAAACTTATCATGATTATGGATAATCATTATAGAATTTGGGATTCAGGTGGGGACACAAAGCTTTAATCTTTATGACAAGGGAGTTGCATATCTTTCATTATTTTATGTCTTTGAATTTCTTAATTAATTTTTAAGTACTCATTGATTTTGTGGGTTAATTAGTGGATTCAAGTAGTTGGCTAATTTCTTATAGTCTAAATTTGATAGGTTGAGGTATGGAAAACAAAGAGTTCTGCTTGAAGAGACCAAACGCCCTTGAAGTTTTTAGGCCTGACCCAAACAAAGTGGATTGGTTTTCTCCCCAAGTAAGAGATGGATGGAGAGTGAAATCAATTGTTCTATTCTAATAACCTCTTGAAGAAGTATTATGTTCTTGTCAAGTTGGCATTATGTTATCGTTATGTCATCATCAAAGGTGGTCATATATATATATACATATTACTTGCCACATCATCATCTTCATAGAAGGAATACATGCCACATCATCTTCTACACATAAGGACTACTTGCCTCATGATCATCATCATAGTTGGATTGGACATCATCACTTTTTTTTATCAAATACATTGAGATCTTTGATTCCCATGGCGGTGTTTGGAACCAGTGTCATTGCTCCAGAAAACGGTGACACATCAACGCCATGTTGGAAAAATTGGTGCTCCATGAAATGTCAATATGTTTAGAATTGCTTTTTCATAAAAAACGGTGCTCCAAGCCATGCTTTGGAAATCGAGAAGGCGTTGTTTGGATCAACGCCGAATTCAATGTTTTCTCAAATTGGAGCTCGCTACAGCCAACGAGGACATGATGTGGCAGTGACATGGACTTCCTATAATGGGTAGCAGTGCTAAAAACAAATATAGAGCATTGGTACTAAACAGTAGATGTTACTATTGCTCCAGGAAACGTCCTACTTGACAGCAATGTTTAATTTTCAAACAAAAAAAAGACACCATTTTTTCATAAAACGGTACTTCCAATCCACACAGATACAACACCGTATTCTGCAACATCGATGCCAAACATATACCATATATTTGAGGGGGCGTGTTAGGGAGTTGAGATAAGGTTCAGTTTGTCATCATGAAATAACAATGAGATAGAGAGTTTTAAGATGGTTAGGATGGGTTTAGGGTAGAGATTAAGTTAGATTGATTTTATACTACTTATTATTGAATTAATGCGATATATTCAATTTCTCTTATATTTTACACCCACTTTAATTCTTTGGCAATTAACCAGCAGAAGTAGAAAGCAGGCTTATTAGTCCATAAAGTAAAATTTAAACAAGGTATCGGTCCCAAGAATTAGATTCCAAGTAAACAACATGGAAAAGACTTTCCATGTCAAAATTTTTATGGAGCATATATGCGCCGTTTGGTAAGGATTTCAGAAAGAAAACTTTTCCATTGTTTTAAACAACTATTTCTTTTGAAATGATAACTATCAAAAACAACCATACGTACAGAACTCTTTTATATGTCAGGACAAAACTGTTAATTTCTTGGTACAACCATTTGCTTCCCAGACTGGATGAACCGCTTTTAGTGGACATGCTCTTTTGGTTCTATTGTGATTGGCCACTACATGAATAAGCACTACTACTAACCTGTCCGACCACAGCATGAACAACCACTACTGTCCCTCGTGCATTTCTCGCTTTTCCAAAAGGTTCCAATAATTCATGGACAAACCTTTAGCTTAATTTGCTGTTATGCTGTACTACTCTCTCTCTCTCTCTAGAAATTCAGAATGCCGACACTTCCAGAGCAAGATATAAGATAAATTTGACAAGGTTGTTTTAGTTCATGTGAGAATGCAATGTTTTAATGAAAAGAAGAAAAGCCAAACATGAAAGATATTTACAGCCCTAAATTGCTCTCCCCGTAACATATATTTTGCTCATTATAATAATAAAAAAAAAGGTTGAAAACAAGAGAGTATGGCAGTGCTCGTTTATGTCTCTTGTTTAATTTGTACAATTGCATGAGGGACTTCTGTGTTTGTCCGGACAAAAGTTATCCAAACAAAAATGGAGGCATGCCTCTGACATGATAATACAGTACGATATCTGAAGCTGCTGTTAGCCTGTGACGTTGATTTCCACAAGGAAGAAGAAAGAACAAGTCTCTGTGACAGTGACGACAACCCAATATATCAATATATATGTTCTTATCAGTTTAAACTTCATACTCCAAGCCGTTGAACCGGTACAATTAATGGAACCTTTTCTGTGATAAATGATAATATCCACCGAGGCAATTTATCATCTACATATAGTAAAATTAATGCTTAGTGTTTAAGGCTTGTTGAAACTCAGAGTACAAAGAACTTTTAAGCCTTAAATAACAAATGGATTTAACTGACAATATTTTTCCCATTTCTAATGTAGAAATTAACTGCAATCGGCCATCCTAGTAAAGAGAAACTCTATTAGTATTATGGTCTCTGTATTTTACTAATCACCAACCTTGAATCTCTAGAGTTCTAGGAACTGTAATGGCAAAATAATTTACAACCACATTTACTTGATTGAAGTAGAGTGGGGAAAATAAAAAAAAAAAAGAATGCCCACTATGTCCTGTTGTCAAGCCATTGAAACAAGGACATAGAAACAGAGTATACTCCTGTTGTTGCCTGCAGTAAGTAAAATATTTTGAAATCAGAGCTGCATAGATGAATCAAGAGATGGAATGCCGTCTATTTCTGCTGGGCTTTATCCGACCTTTGCCATCAGAAGGCTTCACTCCATCTGCACGCACGAAGGGGTAGAGGCGCCCAAGCTTTTTGGACACAGAGTTGATAAATGACGGTTTCGACCGAGGCAACGGAGGCTTATCAGCAGATGGTGGAGTGCTTCCCGATGGGATGATTTCTGCTGATTTTTCGAGTTGTTTTAATCGCATCCGCATCTTTACCAGCTCTATCTTCAGGTCTTCGTTTTCTCTTCGTAAGCTCACGACCTCATCAGGGGCTGAGTGATAATCTGCAGAGTACAAATTCAATTTTTGAGGCAGAGAAGGAGATTCCCCACCCATGAGGTTGCCACCACCCATAACATCCCGAAGACGTTGCTGCTCGTAGTAAAGAACCTGAACCACGATTTGCACAGGGAGCCGATCGTTCTGGGCTGCATGAGCACAGGCTTCCCGGGATAGCTTCTGGCAGTCCATCAAGCTGCAAACCTTCTTCCTCTCCATGTCAGTCAGAGCAGGATGAGCCTGCAATGTGAAAACCATGGTATAATATTGCCCAGATAATTTTCTGTAAGAAGAAAACTATAATTTGGTAAAAGTAACAGAAGCTAGATAGAGAAGAGAATTAGTTGATGAGCTCATCTATGTACTTCCCCAACTATGATGACTAGGCGGCCATTCAAGTGACTGTAATACATAAAAAATTAAGCACAGTAATAGATTAAGCATAGATGAAAAGAAAATTCCGTATACAGCAAACAAACCTTCAAGTATATATCAATGGCTCTGTACATTCCATCCTCTGTTACCCTTGCTTGTTCTGGGATCAACTCAGCAAGAGCAATGAACCTCGATACAGATAAATTACGGTCAGAAGCTATTTCAGCAAGGTAGCTCTCCATTAGCTTCCCAACCCGCTCCATGTCACTCGGAGGAGGGGAGACATACTCTTCGTCTGCATTGTAGCCCAGACGAGCGGCTTCCAATTCATAATCAAGGTAGTTCATCATGATCCGCTGCACCGTGTCCACATCAAACAATGTATCCCCAGTGAAGGAAAATGAAGGAATCAAGAGATCATCCAGCACCGCCTGTCCAAGTTGCAGACCCATCCTCTTCTCCAGATCAAGCCGGCATGCAACCGTTGTTTCCAGATATATAGCTGCACGTAGTAGCATAGAGAGAAAGCTAACAGACATTGCATTCTTCTCCCTTGGCAGAAGACTTACAATGGTCTCCAAAATGACCCTCTTCTCGTGCTCTTGTTTAGGCTCAATTTTTTTCCTCGCCTTTCCAAATATTTCCTGCACCAAGAGATTCCAAATTAAGTACATGGGAAGAAGAAGAAGAAGAAGAAGAAGAAGAAGAAGAAGAAGAGAAACACAATCAATCAGATTTTCAGACTGGTTTCTCACCAAACCTCGAAGAGATTTCTGCGCATAGAGCATCAGTATTGGACCAAGTGCATACTGTTTAAAGCCTCTCGCCAACATTGCCATGATAACTCGATGAAAGACATCAATCCTGAGAACAGTTAAGTCTTCAGCCCACCAATCTACAATGGGTTTAAGGTGAGACCCTGAGGAAGAATTGACAACCTCGTGTCTATTCTCCGTCTTCCCAGGCATACAGAATTGGCTCTCCTTACAGGCAATATATGCAACAGCATCTATGGATCGACTAACCAATTTTACCTTCTCTGCCATTGGAAGGAGGTTTTCTGACGCATGCAACACGGAGATAGCACCAGAAAGGCTCTTCAGTGCCACTTCATTCAAGTAGTCCTCTGTTCTACCCACAAGGTTTCCGACTGCATAGTCCTCTGTCATCTCAAGATACTCCGCCATGCACCGGAGCATGGCAATGTTCTCTGTACTTATCTCAAAGTTTATTCCATAACAGAATTTTGCAGCCAGTTCAAATGCCTCCCCACCTGGAACATCAGGGAGTTCAATGACAGAAACAGCGGCATCACTAGCTTCAGAGACCAATTTCCTTATATATCCACACTTTGATACCAATGGAAACTGCAATTGAAGTTATTAATGAATGAGATTCAATTGAAACCCTACTCTAAATTCGCAATTCAAGGACAGATTCCGCTTACTTATCTCAGATTCTCAGTCTCTGTTTCAGTCAATTGGTCATGTAATCTTCTTTTTCTTTTTCTTTTTTTTGTTTACTGATACTACCATGTTTTGCAAATTTATCGATATTAAAGAATGAAAATCAAAGAAAAAGAAAAGAAAAGAAAGATTAGGATCTACCTTGTGCAATGAGAAAGAGGCTCCTCCAGCATGAACTGTGACATCGCTAGGGATCTCCTGGGAGAAAATCCTGTCGAAATTCAAGCTGACCATCTTCAAGATCTTTGTTATTATCCGAGAAAAAATTATTCATTCAACTGAAGCAGATAAGATTTTAAACTATTGAAAGAAACCCGAGTAAAGAAACTGAAAGCAAAAGAAGCAGAAGCAGACCATTCACTTGTTCTCTTCATGGCAGTGGAGAGCAGCTGTTTCTTTTTGGATGACATGTTAATAGCTGGCAGTGCAGCTTCCTCTTGATCAAGCTCCACCATATCTGTAACGCGAGAATCTTATCTTCTTCTTGTTGTTGTTCTTGATAGTGTCTCCATCAGAAGGTGGAACACGAAGCAGAAATCGACAGAGTCGGATACAATTCTTTATTAAGGTTGTGGTCAAGGAGAACCAGTTAGCATCACCATGTCTTCTTCTTCTTCTTCCTTTATCTATTTGTATATTTAGTTTCCTTCTTCTTCTCCTTCTCCCTGTTCTACCATCTGAGATTGAGAGTTTGAGAGTTGAGATTTTAAGCTTAAGCAAGTACTAAAATTGAAAACATAAACAAAAATTTTTACTGTTCCATAATTGAATTATCGACTTGTCGTCTTGAAACTATACGAGCCAAGTATCACTGATCACGATGCTGTCTGTGTCACGCTTAACAAATTACCGAAACTATCCCTCATCTATTGGGGAGGGGATAATTTTCACAGGGGTAAAAAGAGTCAAAATAAATGAAAGTTGTATCTTGTACGGGGATTCGATTCAATTATCAACGGTTGATGGACCCGAAATGTACTTGATATTGTGTGGTGTTTCAAGCTCAAACGGATGGATGGGAGATGGGCCAGATCACAGATGGCAATAATCCTTGTACCTTTAGCAACGGCCAACCGTAAAAATAGATCACGTACGAAACATTACAGCCATAAAACCTGCGAGGCTGCTCTCTCCTGAGTGAATTGGAAGTTACATTGGACCTAAAACTCTGAAGCATGGCCCTTTGATGTATTGCTGCTGCCTCACTCTGAATTGGATGAAGTGGCCTTTAAAGTGGGGGCCACAGTAAACACCGAAGGGCGCGTGGATTGGGGTTTGGGGTTAATTCTTATTTTTTAAGAAATATTTTATAAATTTAAGAGAAAAATAGGTGTTCGTTTTATTTTTATTTTTTATCTCTTAAAGAAGAATTTTATAACTTTTTATTTTTCGATGATACTAATAAAACATAAATATAAAAAGAAATCTCATATATAAAGTTAAAATAGATAGTTGACAATTTTCAAAATTCAAAATAATAACTTTTTACCAATTCAGAAGTTCAAAGAAAAAAAAATATCAATATTAATATACCTCTTAATATAATTATTATATTTTCATACGTCTAATGTATATCATAGCAAATGAAGGGACCCTGAATCAGCATAGCTAATTTCTCCCCACTAATTTTTCAATTTTGGTTCTGTTCAGAAAGAATGTAAATACAAATATGTCCATTGCCAAACTTTGTGTACTCTTTGTATTGTACATTATATTTATATTTGTACTATCGATCCTTCCCAAATTGGACCCATTTAAAGTTTCAACGGTCCAAACTCCATACATACTCCCAAGTCCCAAGTGAGTGTATTTGCATGTGATGTGGTGGACAAAACTAAGCTCAAATCAGTGTGTCTTCAAACCAATTTTCAAATTAAGTGGGATCTGATAGAAAACTGGAATGGTTACAGGGTCACGGCACTGACTAGTAACTGGTTAGCTCGTTCTCACGGCAAGAACCATCAATTCATCAGGACGTGGAATGGTCACCAGGTAACCCGGTCAATTGCCCAGTCCAATCCGAGCCCAAAACAAATTCAAACTATTGTTGATCTCCTGATTGGTCATACCGGCCGGGTGCCAACTGACTAGATTCAGGATTATATATAGACGGTTTTGAACAAACACAATGGACAAACTGCCTGCTTGAATGTTGAATCGCAGAATCGGTGGATGGACTGGAACTGGATCACTGTCCCTCAGCCACTTCCAAAAGCATTTGTCCAAGGGAAATACATGATTTATGATAATTTCCAATTATTTTAAACTCTGATATCAATATCATGAAAGAATTTTTTTTTCAAGAAATTTCAGGAATCATGTGAGAAAATAAATCTTTCTGTCATCCTCATCTTCGACAAGTGCAGTGGAAAAAAAAACAAAAGTACAGCAAATCTGAACTTCCATATTTTTCCAATGTGCAGTGCAGCTGGGTTTGCTTTCAAGAGATCCGGACCATCAAATCAATCCCCATGCTCTTCCTCATCATCGTCGTCATCATGATAGATCAACCATCATATCATTTGCATGCAGCTACCACAATTATATTGCAGAAATTGAGTTCCACAAACATCGTTGTCATCTTCGTTGTCTTGGTCACCCTTATCATCACATTTGATCTTTTTAAGCTGTGAAAGGTTGTATAAGAGTAGTAGTGAGACTCTGGAAAATGACTTGATTTGTAAGTTTTGAAATAATATCTAAGATAAGTTCACTCTATAAAATCACGTAAAATTTTAAAAATACAGAAGGACCCTATTGGTCCAAACAAGTCCAATGACATGGGAACCTTCCACGTGGCAAGATGGCTAAGGACCCAAGAGAGTCTCACATATTTCTCAAATCACCCTTTCAGGCTCAGCACAAACCTTTTGCCATGTGTTTAGAAATCAGATTCGGCCCTTTCTTTGGATTTATTTTATATTTACAAAATTAGAATTTCAAAAGGCTGAACTTTGGTTGTTCATGTTCGACACTAGACCTGTTCACGGGCCAGGTTTTGGGCCCAACTTTACACTGTATCAGGCTCAGGTTTTGGGTCGGGCCTATTACAATTTTGACAAAAGCTAAGCTCAAACCCGGTCTATGAACAGGTCTATTCGATAGGGGTGAACAAAAAAACCGAAAAATTAAATCGACAGAAACTGAACTAAAAAACCGATTAACCAAATTGATTGATTTGATTTCAGTTAACCAATATAGAAAACCGACGATTAACCAAGCCAACCGGTATACATATATTATATATATTTTATATTTTTATATATTATAAATTAATAAATATGTACTATATATATTTATAATATATGATATTTTATTTATTATTTAAAATATAATATTATATATATTCATTTATATTTTTTATTATATATATATATATATGTATTTTATAATATATATTGTAAAAATTAAAAAACCGAAAAGACTCACAATTACAAAAATCGGTAGTACCAGTTTTACCGATTCGGTTAAAAAAAAGTAGAGCACCCCTACTATTCGACACTCAACACTCAACAGCATGGGCTGTCAACAAAATTCTCCCTACTACATGACACAGTTGGTTTACCAAGCAAGCAAGAAGCAATACATACAGCACTGATATTGTTTTGAAGCTTATAGTACATGACACCTTATCCTCGTTTAGTTCTTTATTTGTTTTTGTAATTATAAATATATTGACTATAATTATTCTTTTACCCAACGCCCATGTTAACGTGTCATGCCCCAAAAATAAGTTTTTTTTTTTTGTGTGTGTGTTCTTTTTTTCATGCGAGAAGAATGTTGTTGGCCCAGGCTGTTGATTTTAGATAGCTAATTTTTCCATACATACAAAGAGGAAGCATAGGAATTGATGACATGGACTTGGGGCTGTAAATTGATTGGAGGATTGAGATTGGATCACCTACCTAGAGTTGAACACAATTGTATTAATTTGGAATCTAATTGAACTTTACCTGTTGGATTTGATTTTGATAGGATTCGGATGATACATTAAATCCCTTAATAAATTAAACTGAAAATGATCAAATTATTTATATTATTGATTAATGAAATGAATTAAAAACAACCTTCATGTGATTTGAACTTTTTACCTTTTAATTAAAACACAACATTTAAACCAAATTTTATTAAAGAATATAAGCTAATTTTATAAAGACATACACACAGATAAGGATTGGGAATGAGGCCGATCCAGAGGTTCCCTATGGAATAGACAACCAGAATAAGACCACATAATTGCCTCAGAGAGAACAAACATCAGAAATTTCCTTTTCTTTCTTCCAAAAAAGGGATTTGCTTTTTTGCTCTTTTAATGGGCATTGAAACATAAAAACAAACACACACAAAAGAAAAGGGCATGGAAGCAAATTATTAGTAATTAGATAAGAAATGTCCAAACAGAAGAGAAATCATGTCAAAGCCACTGAATGCGTTCCACTTGTTCGATTGGCAGGGCATGGACCTTCTTTATCATAATTCTGTAAGCCCATATTAGTTTTACACAGATATTATACGAAGATTAACTCCCAACTTCCCTGTCTTCTCTCAAGGGATCCGTACTAGCAATTAGCAAAAGAATGAACTGATGAAATCTTGGTGTTTTAATGTATGTAGCAAGAAAAGACTTCTCACCCGCCGCCCCAATCCCCCACGAAATCAAATTTTCTGTAGTTTAACACCTTCTTACTGGGATAGTTCTGTTATGATCCATGTCTCGTGTTGGTAGTATGGGATGCTAGTTTGATGTATTTCACATCCATAGTATGGGATGCTGTTGTGGGGTATATATATATATGCCCTTGGATTCCTTCTCTCTAATAATTAGCTTTTAGGGGTGAGTTTTCCTAAGGTACATAACAAGTTCTTTGAACCATACAATTCTTTCTTGTTGCATTATCGCACAGGATTTATTTGGGCCCATTTCGAAGACAGAGACAGAGACACAGAGAGAGAGAGAGAAAGAGTTTCAGCAAACGCCTTGGCAGAGGGATGCCAGAGAGAGAACCTGACAGATAATTGTTTGATTGATCATTATCCTCATCCTGTCTTGTATAATTGTCCTCGCAAAGAAAAGAAAGATGTCATGACTAGATCTAACGTTATGGGAAGATGCTTTATTGTCTCTACCAGAAGAGATTTCTCTTTGTTAAGGAAAAGGAAGTGGCGCTCTCTAAAACACAGTTGTAAAGCGAGCTTGTCTCTTCAATGAATTGTATGATAAAAAACTGTGGACACAATCACACAATTGCTCCTGTACCCAACACCAGGAGTCCCGCACAACCTTTCATATCATATAGCAATCACTATTTAATCCATAAATATGCGTTTACAGTTCAACCACGGTGCATTTTGCATAGTTACTGCATGATATTCAAAATTTCAACTAATCATATTAACAATGTTACATCATCTATTTGTATTTTATAAGATGTAAAGATTTTTTTGTATTTATTGATACACACCACACTAATAACCCACTCTTCCTCAAAGTTGGTGGTTGCAAAAAATTGGATCCGTTTTTATGCTGGAGTGAATCAGCTAAAATAACACCCCTCAGTTGGCAACAACATTAAAGATTCAATTGATACATATGCTTTATCACTAAATCAAGATTTTTTGCTTTACAGTGCAGTTCATGCATCATAGATTTTGTCATGCATTTAACATTTCATAAGCAGATTGAAAATACAACATCCTGTGCATCCAAATCTGTAGCAAAAAAATAGAAAACCTAAAATTATGGTTTTCAAAACTGGACCGGACCGAACGGTCAGACTATAAAAACTGGGAAGCAGTCAGGTAACTGATTTCATTTCACCCTAAAACCACTTTTTTGACCCGGGAACCAGTCCCCAGAAAAGTTCTGTCCAGTCCGGTTTTAAAAACCTTGCATAAAACCCTGTTTATGGCATAACCCACGTCCTAACCTTCACTCCTGTATCCATAGTCTTTATTGGTATATTTCTATGTGGGGTAATATGGCTGCTCATTTGGTGGCAAATAAGGCTGGAGGTTTTCCTCTAGTTGGCTTGTAAAAATTTTGAACTCTGATGATTTTAGTTGATAGCATGTTTTTTTATCTACACCAGGGTTGGGGGGTATGGATTTGAGGGATGAACTACCCCCAGCCCCATAGAGCAAAAAAGAGGAGAGAAAAAAAAAATAGGAGGATCAAATCTCTCTTATATCATGAAGCTAAAAAATAAGCGTGTACGAAGGACCAAGATTAGTCGAGCTCCCATGAGAAATTGAGGGTTTTTTGTTTTGTTTAATCTTTCTATGCCACTCCATCCATAGCATCAACATAATTATTGTATAGACTTCTAATTTGGTTTTGTTCTCTCGTTATTGATGTGATGCTCACTTCATGTCTATCCATACCATCGAGTATCTTAGTTGAACAGGCAGTGGAAAGCAGTTAGCCCCAGTCCCATCTTGTCCTTTTTAGCTTAGGTGCTAGGTACCGTTTGGACTTTGCAGAACAAACGTCCAACGTCGGTGATGGGTCTTCATTGCAGAACAAACCATCTTGTCCTTTCCAGCTTAGGCGCTACTAGAAGGCTACAGTGCGTGAACCAGATCCAGGGAACTTGAATTTGTTCGTTTCCAAAGTACAACTCACACCCGTTCTTAACATATTTATGTTATGAGTTAGTATAAACGAGCCAAGCCTATAATTAATATTTATAATATTAATTACAAATAAATAAATGTCCTAATATATTTTTATTTATAATGTTTCTGAAAACTGCCTCACTGAGAAGTGAGAACAGTAAATGTTAATAGCCAGATAATTGAAAAAGAAAGCATTCGCATCTTGGTACTATTATGAAGACATGACGTAAACTAAATGGTCCACCCGGAACATAAATTTCTATCAACATAATAGATGCTACTACTAAGGCTCCAGTCTCCAGATTGGGACCCAGGTCACAAGGACCAACGCCTGTTCAATCACCATCGTCCTTTATGTTTCCTTACCTGGACCAGTCACCTCAGATTCCTGTGTGTCCCCTGCTTCACTTGGTTTTGAAGAATTGCTATAGAAGTGCCAGAGAAGCAACTATTAAATTTAAAACTATTCATACTTTATCCTGAATTAAGGGCATAAACATATTTATGAGATAGACAAGTCCAATAACCATAAATTCACTCTTCTTTGTATGGTAGAAAAAATAGTTATTCCACTTCTGTAACTCCTGTGAAAAGGCTCTTGACATTATCTGGTAGTCGGTACCCAACAAATTGACTCAATCGAATAGCTTTATCTGCTATAAATTCTGCATTTTGCTATCAATGCTTTTTGCCGCTTAGAATGGAAGGTCTCCTGAGACCGCTAAAGCAGGAGAAACCTAAAAAGAAAATGTTATATTTATTGCAGGCGCCCGTTGAGTTTACATGTTAGCTATCTGGTCAGCTTCTACTTTCTTTAAGCTTGCCATGTATGTCAGATAGATTGTCCACAAAAATGCAAATGAATTGTTCATCAACGGCTGCCAAAACAGAAATTCAAAGATAGCAAGCATAAAATAGTCTACCCTCCAACAATCTCACAATCAGGATGGACAGAAGTTAAAATTTGAAACATAAGAATGGCAAGTATGTGGAACATGGGGTCCACCAAGGAGATCTCCTTGACTGAAATAAACAAGGTTGGATGTTTTATTTACCTATTACTTTTTTTTACACAACTTATGATTAATGATTTAGTGCTCGAAGTAATGAAGACACCAATGACAATACCTAGTTCTCTAGATGGGACCAGATGAATTGTAAATAATCCCTGACCATCCCATTTATCCATCTCAAGAAAGAATATTTTTATAAGATAGTACCTCAGACATACCTGCAGGTGAACAGGAACGAATCTGAATGTGACAAAATCACACATAGGCCAGTATATAAGACCATTTTTCAATGTTGGAAGTAAGTCTCGCTTCAGTCTGGCAATAATCTCAACACCATTTTCACCTAAGCTTCACATCCAGTCTCTCACTTAGAATTAAAAAAGATTAAACCAAATCATTAAATATGTAAATTCAAGGCATAGATCTATCAAGCATTATTGATGATGTTAATCACTCTGAGTTCACCTGCAATAACCAAAAGTAATAGGGGGGACATCACATTTTCAAACCTAATGACCAGATGACAATGAACTTTTTGACAAATAACTATACAATGGCTAGATTTATGATTTCTAATTACAAGTTCAAAAAACCAATGAAAGATTGACAAAAATACTCTTGATCCCCAAAGCTACTGAAAATGCATGGAAAAAAGAAATTTGGGGTCCTTTTCTTAACCATTTGTTTTGGCCATCAAAAAGAATGATTTATAGCCTGTGGTATGAGAATTCCCTTATAATCTCTTTCCGTATCTTCTTTTCTTTATTCAGCAAAGTTTTACTTGTTTAGTTTTTTACCAAAAAGAAATGGTTATGATAATAAGAAACATAATAACAATGGAAGTGAAACATAAAGAACTAAAACACAAGTTATGTGGCACAGACACATATATAAGCTCAAGAATAAAAAAAAAATACCATTGTCCATGAAAGGAAGCATGTGTTTCATGTACCTTGTAAAGCTGCATTCAGAGAGAAAAAAGTAGCAGTCACGATAGGTCCATAAATAACCTGCCCCATAATAAGTTTCTTCAGGGTAGTAACAACATCAAGCTTTGGAAAGACTCTTGACAAAAAGTTGAACCAGAAATGAAGTGATGGCCCCATAAACAGCATTCCATATCCAGTCATACGTAATGTCCTTATTAAATCAAAAGATTCTGAGGATGTTTGTGTCATTCTCTGGGTAAAAAATGTACAAAATCAGTATATAATATTATAGCAATACCATAGACAAAATAATTCTTAAAGCATATCAGTGAGGAAGAGGCAATTTTGACAATATGTCAGACATTGGATTACAGTTTGAAATAGACTTCCAAGTTTTTGGTTAGTTGATCTTGCTCGTGCAAATTTTGCACAAGGGGAAAATGATACTATTAAGGAGAAATGCACCATGTAAATGCTGCTAAATAAGAAATAATGATTCTTTGTTCTTTTGAAAATGATAACTATATTTGTTTTACAGGAAATCAAAATGTACATTAGAGGATGTAAAGGATGCCAAAAAAAATGAACCCCCCCCAAAAAAAATAATAATAATAATAATAATCACAAAGGCAACACATTGTTACTATACAAACATTCACTTTATACACCTGACTTGGTGAGCCCATCAGCAACAGAGTTCAATTCCCTAAAGATACACCTAAGCATAGCGTGCGTATCAATGCTGCAATGTCCCTAGCAACAAAAAAGTGAGGCATTCTCCAGGGACCACTCCCAGGCTTCCCCATTCAGTTGACAGTATTTGCCGAATCTCCTTTGGTGGCTAAGGAATACATACTTAGCTGTTTGGCTATCCTTGGCCCAATTAATAAAGACAGAAATTCAACCTTGGTGGAATCTACATCACTCAAATGCCCACTAAAAGCCCAACAAATACCCCCATCCTTTCAAAAGAAAGGTCCCCAAATGCCCTGGGGTTACCAAGAGAATTTGAGTCTAATTTTCATTTTCTTCCTGTTGAGTGATGCCCCAACTAATGATTCAACCAGGTGGTGAGGAGTGGGCAATCTCAATTCAATTCCTCCTAAGATCTCCAAGATAGGTATCACTATGCTATGTTTGGTTTAAAGGAAAAGGTAGGGAAAAGAAGGGAAAAGTAGGGAAACCTATACAAGGTTTGTAAAGGTTTCCCTACCTTTCCCTACTTTTTCCTCGTACTGAGGATATGCAATAGACCTCTTGCTGCCACCTTTCCTCGTATTCAGACCCCCAAAAACGTTAAGCCATGATCTCTGTTTGTCTAACCACTTAAGAAAGGTAGAATTTTTTTATCAGCAAAAAGAAATTTTATTAGATTTTGGATGATGAAATTGGATTTAGTGCAATACATGTTGGAGTATTCCAACAGCCCAAATTTTACAATATCAATTGCTGGTCTCTTTGAATCACTCAGGGAGGTCTACCTCTCCTCGTCTAATCCTGGTCATCGTATATAGAAAATTCACCCTTCTAGGCAGTTTTCTATTAATTACTTCAAGGCTCTTATTTTGAAGACAAAGTTAGTAGCTTCCCTAGCTAAGATCTAAAACTCTCTTATCCCCCCCCCTAAGGGTGCCTTTTTCCATGTTGATGGCAAACATTTGAAGGATTAACACCTGTGATGTGAGTCAAAGGAAGAGAATGGGTTTCATCTCATGCAAGTATTATGTGCCTCCAAGATGAAGAATTGGATGGGCATCTTCTTCTTCATTGTCTGGACTATGCTTTAGCACTACTTTCTCAACATGGTAGGATATAAGTGGGCTGCCCTGGAAGGGAGTCAGCTCAGTCCAAAACTTAATATGGTTGTCTTCCCCACATTATATCTAGTAAAAGTGATAAGGAGTTGTACGTGAACAAAATACCTTTCCAAGGATTAGAGGACCTGAAATGGTTCAGTTGGAGATCGCTATCCCATCCATTCACATCCCTCCCATATTTGCTGCAAATAATGGACGCCCAAAGTGTGTGGAATTCGATCAGGTACCCTCCAAAACCACTTCCAAGAAAGAAGAGCAGTGTTCCTTTGAGAGGTCTATTAATTGTGTAGGTCAACACCACCCCCAAAGGTGCTGCAATGAAAAATAATTGGCTATCTACAGAATGCAAAAAGACTGAAGCTCTAAATTTTGAAAGAAAAAAGTTGAGTTTTCATTTTTATTTGAATTTATTGGTTATTTTAAAATTTAAGAATTTTGAAATTTCTAACAAATCCTGGAGAAGTCTTGATCAATATCAGCACCATTTTATCCAAACTATTTTAACACTGTCTTGAACAAAATTGACAGTTTTTATCAAAAGTATTTCACTCTCACTTGTTATCAACCAAAATGCATAAATTGAGAATGAAATATTTCCCCTTAAGAAACAATATAAAATTCTTCATATCTTGGAAATAGTGGCCTCATTCAATCACAGAATGACTTGGTAAAGTCAAAGACCTTCAATGCCAAGGTATAAGGATGCCTCGATGTGCAAAACATAGTACCCTTGTATCATGCTGGAACTTTCATTATAAAATGAACCAAAATAGAATTTCTTGGTTTAATGTGTAGTCCACAAAAGAAAATGGCAGTTAATTTTCTACCAACACCTACAAATTCTTAAGACCTAGGAAAGAACATTGTTGCAAAAAGCTCATCTGCACATTGAAAGGCCTGCAGCTAAGGATTCTACCATTAGATCTTCATCCTCTCCAGAGTTGTGCAGATGGGAATCCATGTCAATTTACAAGTTTGTTGTGGTTTAGTTAGGAACAAATGATCTAATGATCCATGGACTCATTGTTTTTTTTTTTTTTTTGAGCATGAGCTTGAACATAAGAATCACTGAATTAACTGGTCTCTCTCTATAAATGACATCTCAACAGAAAGCTGATTGTTTTGTACAATTTATATATGATGGATAATAATCTTAAACAGAATAGTGAGTGAGACTCCCTTGTTCTCCTACTATCAAAACTAGAAAATGTCTTTCTGGACCAAAACTCGTCAGATGGTAGAATTTGGTCTCTCTCACTTGATGGCCTCTTCTCTTGTGCTTCCTTTTTCAACCTTCTTGTCCTTTCAAAACCTTTGGGGGTGAACTTACCGACGAAAGAAATCGGGTGCAAACCTATCCCTCCTAAAGTACAAGCTTTGTGTTGAGAAGTGTTCCTTGGAAAGATCAACACCTAAGATGTGCTACAGAAAAGAAGGCCAAATAAGTGCCCTCTCCTCACATGTGTATCCTTTGTAAGGCTAGTGGTGAGACCCTTCCTCATTTATTAAATCTCCTGTTCCTTTGTGTTTTCCATCTTCTTGTGGCAATAAAAATAAATAAAAAAAAAAAAACAAAAAAAAGAGAGGAAGACTTATGTGGAGGGAAGTAAGAGCAGTGTTGGTGTTGATTGTTTGGGAAGAAAGAAATCAAAGGATCTTTAATGAAAAGTGTATTGAAGCCATACCAGTTAGGACTGCACATTGGGTAAAAGCATTGGACACCTTTTGAGAATTCTCAACCAATGACATAATAAGGCCTTGGGTTGAAGTGGCGTAAATAGTTAGACATACAGAAAGTGTAAGGATGGAATGGAAACCACCAGCTATAAATAAGCTGAAGTTGAACTTTGACGGTAGCTCTTTGGGCAATCCAGGAAGAGCAAGTATAGGGTGAGTGTTTAGAAACCACCAAGAAGTGGTAGTGATTTTGTTTTCAGGACCAATTGGCTTTGGAGATTCAGTTCAGGCTGAAATGTCAGTTCTTTTAAAAGAAAGACTTACAGTACAGCTTGGAGTTAAGGAATTGGAAATTGAAGGAGATTCACAATTAGTCATATCATGGACCAGGAAAATCAACTCAGCACCTAGGAAATACAGACATGCTCTCAAGGATATTGGTCTCCTAGCAAAGAGGTCTAATTCTAACTTCAGCTGGGTAAGAAGGACTGCAAATGGGATGGCAGATGTATTAGTAAAACAAGGAGTTGATAGGCCTCTTTTGTTTTGGGTAAAGTTGTAATCTGACGTAATATGGGTTGGTGGGATTGTTATAATAATTGTACCAAGTTTCTGAATTAACATTAATGAAATACTTTTGCTGATCAAAAGAAAAAATCTTAAACAGCAGAAAGCCTGAATATCAATTAAGTATGAGCACGTTTTGGAAAAACATGCTTATCCATCATGGTTATGAAAAAACTACATAAAATGCACAATTAAGAGGAAAGGTACACCCCACATTCCACATAACCATGATAGCCCATGCAAGAAAAAGAGTAGCTATCACTAATAAGATTGACCTTCTCAACACAGAGCTACATCCAGAGCCAAGGACAACATTAAAATAATAAAATCAATGAAACATAGAATTCTCTGAAGTAGGGTTGGTAGTTTTTGGTGCAAGCCAATTCCTCCTAGGGTTGGTAGTTTTTACTGGGAAGCTTTTCTGGAAAGAATCAATACTAGTGATCTGCTCCAAAAGAAGAGACCCAAATCATGTTTATCCCCTCACAGGTGTATTCTTTGTAAAGCAGATGGGGAGACTGGTTTTCACCTACTAGTGTCTTGCCAGTTTGCAAAGTCCATTTGGGAGTGGGCTTTCTCCGTCTTTGGGTGTAGGTGGAATCCTCCATCAGACCTGCAAAGTCTTTTTTTTCCCCTTCCTTCTTCAGGTGGTGAATGAAAAGGGGAAGGACCATATGAAGATGTTTGAGGGCTGCAGTATGCTGGGCTTTGTGGGAGAAAAGAAATTCCAGGATCTTCTCTGAAGTAGAAAGAGGCAATGAAGAACTGAGAGAACTGATCCATATAAGGGTGGTGCAGTGGCTGAAATCTCCAGAGCTGTTTACAGACTTCACAGTGGATGACTTGTTGAGGAAGTTGGGTGAGACTGCTAACTGTTCAGACCAAAACAGAATTGAGTTTGTCTTGCCCCCCCCAGCTGCTGGCTTTTTAAAATGGGAGTAGTTGGGGGAATCCTGGAGACTCAGGGATGGGGGTGTGTTTAGGGTGGTGCAGTGGCTGAAATCTTCAGAGCTGTTTACAGACTTCACAGTGGATGACTTGTCGAGGAAGTTGGGTGAGATTGCTAACTGTTCAGACTAAAACAGAATTGAGTTTGTCTTGCCCCCCCCCCAACCTGCTGGCTTTTTAAAATGGGAGTAGTTGGGGGTATCCTGGAGACTCGAGGATGGGGATGTGTTTAGGGATGAGAAT